TCCAGGTTTGTGAAGGAAGAGGGAGCTGGTGATTGGAGAGTAGCAAGCTGGGATGTGGTTCCTGAGCCCTAAGACAGGCCCCACACTGAAACGAAGACTTGTCCACACGGGCCCCGTGGTGCTGCTTGCAGAGGAAGAGGCAGGAGCAAAGCAGGATCTGTGACAGCTGGGGATGACCTGCCAGGATCTGAGGTGCTGAGGAAAGGGGACTCAGTGAGGACAAAAGGTACAGGAACCAGCCTCACTGCAGAAATGCTGGGAGACAGCAGTGCAGGCCCTATGGACCATGCACTGGTAAAAATGCCCTTCAGCATCTGTGCCCAGACTGGCCTGAGACCACGGGCTGAACTTCGCTTGGCAGTTAAGAGGCCAAATCCTGTCCCAGGATCCGTTTTTCTACCTGCTGGGTTTAAACGTTGCTTTCAGACAGCCCATCAGAGCCACAGAGGAGGCAAATCAGATGCCAGTCTATTAAAAGAATCAAGTACAGCACATGGTGCCAGGCAGGGTGGAAACGGGCCAGTGCCAAGTCCTCTCCAGACATGCAGACACCGATCTGTCCCCTTCCCTCTGTGCCATTAACAGTCTGGGATGGGGCAGCACAGCAGGCAGAATTATTTGTCCCCTCTCTGTTTCTTTATTTAGTACATCACTAAGAGCCACAGCCTCTGAGGAATAAGACATTCCTCAGGGAAAAGACCTGCAGCCGTTCATGACACGTGTCAGTCACAAATCCCAGTGCCCGGAACGAGCTCCAGACAGGAACAGAAACACCAAGTCCACGAGCTAATGGTTACCCAGAAACCTGTCAAATAAACCTGGTCACCCAAAGCTACAGGATGCACTGGAAAAGAGCACCCAGGATAATCCAGTTGCCACGTTCCAAGGTGAAACTTGGGAACTATCAATACGGGAAGGTTTGGAAAAGATCAGGGAGCAGCCTACAAGACAGTGGACACCTTCCTCTCTGAAAGGACACACAAACACGCTGCCAAGGGCTGTGGGGACCTGTGCTCAACTCCCACAGGCAAATACAGCAGTGATCCCACGGGATCACAGTGCAGAGCTGGGACTGTGACCATGACAATTCACACCTGGGACTCGAAGGCGCCGCTTGATGCGATGGCCATGAGTTCCCAGAGAGCACACTGAGCACACAACCCACCCAGGGCAGGAAGGTCCTGCTTCACCCAACCCCACTCCAGGCTCAGACAGGACTGACAGGAGACTGCTGAGGTGGGAACTCGCTCACAGAGCTCTCTGCTACAGAGAAGGAAATTTGTGGCCACTGCAGGTACTATAAATCCTGCACTGAAATCACAACCCTGCACTGAAATCCTTCCTCCCAGCTAAAGGAGAGCTATCCCTGCAGGAGAGGGGGTTTCTTTTTCTGCTGCAAAAATGCTCCGAAGCAACCACACACCTTATTCTGCCATAAAAACTCAAACAGAAGCAACCCTTCCTCGGCTGGATGTCAATCCCTCACCTGGCCAGGGGCCATTCCAGTGCCAAGAAATGCACCCACTGCACCTCCAAAGTGCAGGAAAGTGCTTGCACCATGATGGAAACAGAGAGAGTCCAGTAACCAGCACTCAAACCTGCAACTACTGCCTGGGATCCCTGGGCATGGACCCTGCCACGGGCCCCAGCAGGAGGCAAAGCCCTGTCCTGCTGCAGGAGGGCAGTGAGGTCCCACGAGGTGAAAGGACAAGGCCAATGTCACCGAGACAAGAAGGAACAGACCCCGACGTAAAATCCGTGTCTTGTCTTCATCGCTCGGCTTGTCTTTGAACCCCACTGTCCATGCTGGAACTCCACCACAGGTCCTGCTGTGCTGACAGAGAGCTGGGGCCAGCAGAGGGAAATTCCTGGGCCACCCTCACAACACGAGGCGTGAGCGGAGCAGAGGCAGCTTGGGGCTGACAGCAGGACCCTCATCCCACGGGGCTCACCAAGGCTGGCAGGACTGCTCCACTCCTGTCCTCTGATGCCATTTCCAATGCACGGTGTGGGGACACAGGGCAGAGTCCCAGGGAGTGTTTTATTGGGAAGATCCATCTCAATACGATTCCCCATCTCCCCTGGAGCCCCCAGGCCCCTTTTCACCAGTGCTCCCCTCCCATGTTTTGCTCTGGATCCCACAAAATCCCAGTATCCCCTTTCCCTGCTCCCCGGTCTTCCCTAAACCTTCTCCTTTCCCTTTGCACTGCACACTTTCCCTGGATTCCCCGCCCAACTTCTTCGCGTCGATCACCCCTAAATTCCACCATCTCTCCCCCCCGTTTCCCACAATCTCTAAATCCCGTTATACCGCCTTCCCCCGTCCTTCCCGAACGTGCCTCCGATCCCCCTCGCCTGGGGATCGTCTCCCCTAGATTCCTCCCCCCACCTCATTAATCCCCGCCGTTCCCTCCATTCCGCAATCTCCTTCCCCAGCCCCCCCCCGAACCCTTCCCTGACAACTCCCTCACCTTCTCCCCTTCCATCCTCCCTAAACCCCCCTGCCCCGATCCCCTTCCAGCCGCCGCCTGGCCCTGCCCAGCTCCGTTCTGCCCCCGGTTCCCCTCCCCACACCCTTCCCCGTTCCCGCAGTGCCCCCCGCCCTGACCCTCCGCAGCCTCCCCGGCACCCCCGCGCCCCTCTCCTCACCGGTACAGCCGCTTGGTGTGCAGCACCTTGGCCTCCGGCTCGCCGCTCTCCCCGGTGGCCCCGCCGCCCTGGCTCATGGCGGCCCCCTCGGCTCGACCCGGCTCGGCCCGGCCCCGGTGCGGCCCCTCGGCCCGGCCCCGGTGCGGTCCCCTCAGCACCGCCCGCGCCGCCGCCGCCGCCGCCCCCGGCCCCGCTCGGCCGCCATGGCTGCCCCCTTGCCCCCCCTCCCGCGCCGCTCTCGCGAGACTTCCCGCCGCGCCAGGGCGGGCCGGGCGGGGGCGGCTGAGCCTCGCGAGAGCTCGCGCTCGCGCGCCGCTGCCAGCACTTCGTGAGGGCAAAACATGGCGGCGGCGGCGTCAGCGGGGGGGGGGATCCCTAAAAGGCCTAAAAACCAAAAAACCACAACTCTCTAAGGCTCTTTTTGAGTGTTAGAAAAGCCGAAAATCTTGTTGCGGCGCGCCGGATGCGTAGATGATGGCTAAAAGCCAGAAAACAACTCGCTTGAGACTCAGTTTTTGGGACTCAGTTTTTGAGTTTTAGAAAGCAAAAAGCACTTTTTTATTTCGACACACCCCGATGAACAGGTGATGCCTAAAAGCCAAAAAAAAAAAGCCAAAAAACACCCTCTCTAAGACTCTTTTTGATTTTTAGAAAGCGAAAAGCACTCGTTGATTTACACCGGGTGCATGGGAATCATTTCCAAAGTACGCACACCGAACCACACACGTGTTACAACTTTATACAACGTTATACTATCATCTAATTACAATATTTGGACGTTGCCTCGTCTGTTAGACCCACTTCCAAAACTGTCCCTCCCTCAGTGCCATCCTCTGCACGCCTCTTGAATGAGAGTTGGAGGTTGCAAAGGACCACCCCTTCATCCTCATCCCACTCTTTGTCATCATCTCTGTCCTTCTTGGAACAACTTCAAAGCTTCTGAGGTCTCTGAATAGCTTTGATTCAGTTATTTCAAACCTTTATGGTTTTTTTTTTTCTAAGCACATCTGCTACAGGCAAGATGCTCTAAAGGCCTTTATCTGTTGGAATCCCTGACAAGAAGGTTAAACGGTATTTTCAGAAATTCAACACAAAGGTACTTAGTAAAGTGGTACTCAAAGTGCTAAGGGCTATACTAAAATCTATATAATACGTATTTAAGGCACCACAGGAATATTTGACAAAGGGTGCATGAGGAATACACTGGCGTTACAACTTTACACCACCATCCAATTACAATATTCAGTTTCTAATTACAATATTTAGCCTTTACCTCGCCGGTTACGCCCATCCCCAAACCCACCCCTCCCGTCGGACCTCCCCCGTCCCTCCTCCCGAGTTGGGAGTCGGTGGTCCCCTTATCTTTTGTCTCCCTCAATCTTGTACCTTGGTCTTTTGGCACAGCATCACACCTTCTGGAACGCTTTCGAGGCTTCTAAGCAGTTTCGGACCGCTTGTTATCAGGTGTTGTGTCTGTTTCTCGGTACGTTTTACAGACGGAAAACCTCTTCACCTCGTTAAAGCCGCTTGTTTGTTGAGATTCTTAACGAAGAATGCCAAACAGCACTTCCGAAAATCCTGCACAAAGGTACTTAGTAAGCTAAAAGTACTAATGAGCTATAGCAAAATCTTAGAGATTTTAAGGCATCAGAACGGGGGGAACGCTTGATTTGCAGAAACTTCCACCTCCCACCCTCGCAGAATAAACAAGGACTGACAATGTCTCCTTTCTCAACAGAGAGCTCTGAGATTAGCTTCTCATTTAAACTCAGCTTCTAAAATTATCCTAATTCTTGTAAAGGAATACTGGTCCCACGATGGACTAGAGTAAAACAAACAGGGACGCTGGTTCAAAGACACTCTTAAAGATTTTATTTTATTGTGTTATTCCTACAAAGTGCAGCTGTGCTTCTTATACATGTTTACTTCTGGGTGTACACTACACATCCTGAAAGTGGCAAAACACTCAGGAGAGAAACAGCATCTTTTTCTAGCGATCACCTGTAGAGTTTGAAACGGAGCTCATTTAAGGCAACACAACGAAAAGCTAATTTATGAGCTGCCTCACGGTATAAATGACCAGCCCACCAGCAAGCCACGTCCATGAAACGCAAGGACGAAACCACCAAAAATGCAGGCTGATAAGAGTATCCAAACCATCGCGTATTAAAGCAGACATTTAAAGCATCTCAAAGCCGATATTTTATTTCAGTTCAGTTATTTTATCGAACTTCAGGAGCCCCCCGGGGGGACAGCCGGGAAAGGGGCGGGCGGAGGGTCCGCCCGGCCGGGCGAGGCTCCGGCGCCCGCCCCTCCGCCCGCCCCACCTGAGCTGGTCCGACAGGTTTAAGGTTCAGAGGCGGCCGGGAGAGCGCAGGAATTCCCACTGGCTCCTGGAGCTGCCCCGCGGTCCCCATGGCCCCCCGGCCCTGCCCGAGTGAGTCCCGCAGCGAGGGGCGGCGGTGCCGTGGGGCTGGGAATGGGGCTGGGAGGTGGGATGCGGGATGCGGGCGCTGGAGGTGCGGGAGGCCCGGGAAGCTGCTCTGCAGCCGCAACTTCCGCGTGTGGATCTCGCAGGGAGCCCTGCGCCGCGCCGTGCCTCAGTTTCCCCACACCCGCGGCTCCTCCTGGGGATGCAGGGATGAACGTATCCAGAGGGAAGAGGGGGAGATTTTCACTGTGGGGGTAGCACTCGGGATGGGTGAAGGGACAGGGATGTCCCAGAGGGAAACATCCCCTAAAGGGAACGATGAGGGAGCTCTGCCTGTGCCTCCTGCACCCCACGAAGGGCACCTGGCAGCCCCCTGCACCCACTCCACGTCAGTCTCTGGCTACAAGAGGCTGCAAACCTGGCCCATCCCGGCTCTAGCTGTGTTCCCAGGCACAGCCAGGCCAGCTCTCCCCAGGGCTTGGGTGGTGCTGGCACAAGACAGAGCAGTGGAAGAGCAGGTTGTATCATCCAGCTGCTCCAGGGTCACCAGACTGTGCCCAGCCAGAACCCCCAGGGAGTTTGTCCAGCAGGGGAAGCCATTCCCAGTCAGACCCACCCCACCAGAGCTCATCTGGCCCACCCAGACAATCCCTGATCCCTCTGCCATGGCCCAGAATGTGGGGACACCAGGTGCTGCTCTCTCCTTGTAGTGCACAGGCAGGCAGGTGCTGGGGGCTCCAGGGGTGCCAGTTTGCCCCCATGACCCCAAACCTCTCATTTCCAGTGGTTTTTTTTTTTGTCTGTTTCCTTACTCCTGGTGCAGGGTGAAAGTGGAAGGGACGGGAACCTCATCCCCTCTCTACACCACGAGTGCAGCAGAGTCAGCAGAGTCAGCAGTGCAGACCCAGCTGCTCTCATGGCTGCTGCAGACCCTGTCCTGCCCCCCGAGGAGGTGGCTTTGCTGGAGCTGGGGAAAGTGGCCCTGGATAAGGTGCCCCCAGCCCTGGATGAACACCTCGAGGACCCTGATGCCACCCTGCCGTGGGACCGGTGCCAGCACAGCGCCCAGGGCCAGCCGGAGTCTGCGGAGGCAAAGAGGCGCTCGAGTCCCGAGGGGGCCGCGAAGACCCCGAGGAAGCTGCTCCCACCTGCCCCCCAGCTGAGGCCAAGGAGGATGAGGAAGGCCCTGGGCTGCCCGTGACGGCGGCCCATGTCTTCGTGCCCATCGACCCGCAGTGCATCGAGCAGAGTCCCTGCAAGCAGAAGCAGCACCCCGCTCCGTGGCCCCAGCAGGAGGGCAGGGGGGGCCACGCTCCTCCCAGCAACAGACCCAGCAGCCTCCACCACAAGCAGGTCTTCCTCCCCCTCGGCCCCTCGCGCTACCGGGACCCCCTGGGCTTTGAGGGGCGCGTGGCCAAGCCCCCGGTGGAGGGGCCGCAGTGCCCGCGTGGCTCCGACAACCTCAAGGCCGTGGCCTCGGTGGCGGGGGCCCTGCTCCTCTGCCCCTGCCTCCTCTACGGCGCCTACGTCTTCCTGCCCTTCGACGCCCCGCTGCTGCCCACCGTCAGCGCCCGCCTGGTGTACGCGCTGCGCTGCTCCGCCTTCGCCACCTTCCCCGTGGTGCTGGGTGAGCCGGGGGGTCGGGGTACCCCCTGTGAGCCCCGGGGCTGTGGGGACCGGAGCTGGGGGGCCAAGCTCTTTGCGGCTCCACCGCTCCCAGGGGGTGCAGCAGGTGGAGTTTTCCTCCCCTCCCTAGTGCTCCTTAGCCCCCACTGAAGCTCCTCTGGGTGCCTGCTCAGCCCCTGTCTCTGCCCCCCCAGGGATGATCATCAGCGGCATCTCCCGCCTCTGCTCCTCTGCCCTGGAGCCCTTTGGGGAGCTGCAGCGGGAGGTGGAGATCCACCGCACCTTCGTCTCCCAGTCCATCCAGCTCTTCATCCTCTACTTCCTCAACATGGTCGTGCTGGCCACCTACCTCCCTCAGGAGCTCCTCAAGCTCATCCCGCTGCTCACGGGGCTCTTCGCCATCTCCCGGTAAGTGGCTCCTTCACCCTGGGGGCACCACCAGGCTCCGTCAGCACCGGCAAACACCGTCCCTCGGTGTGACTCCTGCTCTGGCAGCACCTCACCTGTCCATCCACAGCCCCGGAGGGTTCTTCACCCGCACCCCACTTCCCGCAGCGGCTGTGCCAGGAAAACCCTCCCTGGTCAGAACCCCCAAGCGAAGCTGGTGCCAGCCCCGCGGCATCGCCCCCGCTGAGCCCGCACCCTCTGCCCTCTCCAGGTTGATTTTCTGGCTCTCCTACGCCATCAGCCGCTCCTTCCGCGCCTTCGGCTTCAGCATGACCTTCCTGCCGCTCCTGGCCATGCTGGTGTGGAACCTGTACGGCATGTTCGTCCTGGAGCCCGAGAACCTCCTCTCTGTGGCAGCGCCGCAGCCCGAGGGCCGCTCCAAGGGCAGCGGAGCCAAGCTCCGGCACTGGGGGTGAGGGAGGCCCGGGAGACTGGGGAGAGCCCCGATGGCACAGGGGTGCTGGCACATCCTGCTGGGCCCCCGTTCCCTGCCCAGGCACGGCAAGGTTTTGCTGGGCTGCAAACCCTCCGCACCGGGAGTCTCCTGCAGGGCGGGCAAACAAGGCCTGGAGCAAGACCCAAGGAGCCCTGCTCCATGGGGAGGGGGTGGGATTCGCCTCCCTTCCTGCTGGAGCCGACCTTGCCCAATAAAGCCCTTCTCCAAACAGCTCTGTGTCTGGTTTGGGGGAGGGATGGGTTAAATTGCCCAGGGAATGACTTGGAGCTTGGCCCACAGGATGTGATCATCCAGCCTCAAAGTGATGTTTCCAAGAGGGGAAAAAAATCATGTTTCCCCCAGACTGTCCCTCTCCCAGCCCTGCATCCCACTCCCGGGTCCCTGAGTGGTCAGTCCTGCCCTGCTTTTTCCTCCTCTTCCTCCTGGTGGAGGTTCAGCACCCAGCTCACAAACCAGCTGGCCAGGCAGGAGGAAGGGATCCTCCCAGGCAGGAGGGATGCAGAGATAAGCAGGGATGGAGGGCATGGCACCAGGCTTGCCACTACCCAGGGCTGGGGATGGCCAATCCCTCCAGGCTGGGTGCTGAGCCCCCCACTCTGCAGACATGAAGGGACCCCTAGGAGTTGCACTTTTGGTGGTCTCAGTTCTCTGATTCTTAGGCATAACTCAAAGGAGTTAAAAATCCATCAAATCCAGGGAAAGCCCCTCCAGCCCCAGCTCTGCCAGGTGTCTGGCTTGTCCCTCCTCCCATCCCACAGTGCTGTTTCAAGGGAGCAGCCCACCTGAGCCAGAGGGCTGGACTCAAGCACCCGAGGGAACAGCTGGAGCTGTGTCAGGGGAGGTTTAGATTGGATTTTAGGAAAAGGTTCTTCCCCCAGAGGCTGGTCAGACACTGGAACAGGCTTCCCAAGGCTGCCAGAGCTCAAGGCGTGTTTGGACAATGCTCTCAGGCACATGGTGGGATTGTTGGGGCTGTGCAGGGTCAGAAGTTGGACTAAATGATCCTTGTGGGTCCCTTCCAACTCAGGAGAGTCCGTGATTACATGAATCTTCCATGAATGTGCCTCATCAAGGACACAGCCCATGCACTGACCCTGCAGCTCGTGGGCAAAACTACCCTGAGCACCACACGTGCTACAGGGCTGAGAGGCTCCTCAGCACTGTCCCATTCCTGCCAGTCCCAGATCTCCAACAATTCCTGGCCCATCTGGTTGCTCAGTGTTAATTACAGAGTCCGAGGGCACAAAACCAGCCCCATTTGTCCTTTCACACCATCTGTGCCTGGAAAAGCTTCCAGCTCGTCTCATTTTTCTCCCTTGAGTTGCTCTGCTCCACAACAAGGCTTTGTCTTCCCCTCTCACAGTTACCTGCTCCCTTCCAGCTCCCAGGAGCTGGCAGCCAAGAAGGAAATCAGAGGGAAGGAGTAGGTTGGTGCTGCATGAGGAAGGCACTTTGCAGAGAAATTCAAGTCTCTTCTTTGTAAAAAGCTCTGAGGGTCTCAGGCCCAGGCCAGGTGCTGTGTCAGTGCTTGGGGACGGGGACCAGCCTGCCCTGACTGCAGTAAACCCTGCAGAGGGGTGGGCTGGGAGGGAGGAGCCCAACCTGTGGTTATGTGGCCACAATGGCCATCAGGGATCAAATGGCTTTCCATAATCAACAGCTTGGAGGAGCTTTGCCCAGAGCAGCAGGGAAAGAGGAAAGTATGGGAGAGAGTAAAAAAGAGTGTTAAAGGGGTTTGGGGTTTATTGGGTTTTTTTAAATCATTTTTTATTTTTTAAAGGCAGACTCAGGCTTGCTGAGTGCACTACCACTAAGAGAAGTATTGGTGATGATGATGATGTCATATTGGACTCTTACAACATTAATGAGGTACCATAATTTGGTACGTTGGATTTGATTACGTGGAGGAGCAGCTGGATCAGCCTCAGGGAGGCCAGGCTGTCTGTGACCATAAGCACTTGGATCTGTCAGCAGCACTGCCTTTTCCACCTGTGTTTTCTGCCTGCAATGAAACCCAACCATTCCCCTTAACGCCCGGCTCCCAGAGCGAGTAACGTGTCCCACACTGTGGTTCTGAGGCCTCTCAAAGCTGGGTACTTCAACTTCACCTCTGCCACCATCACGTACCTGGCACAGGAGGGAGGACAGGTCGTGGTAAGTGGAGGATTTAGAGGAGCCCTGCAGATCCCCTGACCCTGCTCTTGCAGCTGGAGGGTCGGGGCGCTGTCCCTGAGCCCTCACCCTGCCCAGCTCTGCCCCAAGAAGGAGAGTGGTCAAGCCTGTCTCTTCCCTGCCTTTTCCAGGTTGGTTTCACCAGTGCTCCCGGGCAGGGAGGAATCTTGGCTCAGCGGGACTTTGACAGGAGGTTCTCCCCTCACTTTGTAAGTGCCTTTCAGCTGACAGTGGAAATGGCTCTGCAGCAGCTGCAGCCCAGCAGTGGCTTCCTGCTGCACGTGGTGCGTGTGGTTTGTCCTGCAGTCACCTGGAGAGCTCCAGGGGCATTGCAGTTAATCCCTGTCCGTTCTCCACAGGAGTCTCACAGAGGCAGCCAAGAGTTTCCATCCCAGCTCCCTCTGTGGAGGAACTGCACTGTGGGGTTTGAGCCAGAAAACTGGGGAGTAGAATCTTAGAACCTCCTAGGTTGGGAGGGACCTACAAGGATCCTGGAGTCCAACTCCAGAGAGAAGCTGCTGGCAGTGGCTGGGGGGGATGGGGTGCCCCTCCAGGCCCCCTAACAGTGCCCAGCCCAGGGGGCTTTTCTACACCTCCCCCCCCAGCCTCCCATCACACAAACAGCCTGAAACAACACCTTTATTTAGAGGACCAGGAGAAGTTTTGGTCCAGAGGCCTCACCCCAAGCAGCAGTGTCCTGTAGCACAGGGCACCTCCGGGGTTCCTGCCATCATTCCCTGACCTTCCCCAGCTCAGCCCTGGGGCCAGGTCTACATTGAGCTCTTCCCCACATCGAGGTGCAGTGCTGGCTGCAGGGGGGGATGGCTCTGCCTGCCATGGCTCGAGGTGATACATGGATCTAATTTGTTAAGTCTCTTGAGCCTGTGCAGTCTCAGAGGGTCTTCCTGGAGAGTCTTTAGGGCCTCCTGTGGTCGTTGAGCCACTGAACTTCTGAGTTTTCATCCTGCTCTCCCATATACGGTGTTTTTTTCATCTAAGCTGCACAGGAGGTTCCTGAACAAACTGGATTGGGCTGGTTTGACTTGTTCCATAGGTGGTTGCAGAGCTCTCAACATGTTCCACTGTTCCACTGACCGCTGTGTACCATCCCATTAACCGTTGTTATTTACGACACAGGCAGCGCATCAGGAAGGTCCATGTCCACAGTGGCTCTGTAAAGTGATGAGGGAGGAGAGCAAGGAGAAGGATCAGGGTTCAATTCCTCCAGAATCAGGGGCCAAGAGCCCCAAACACACCCCTCAGGTCACACAGATCTGCTGCTGGTGCAGCCCCATTTGGGGCCGGGTGCTAAACAAGGAGGAACAGAGAGAGGTGCCCGACCTGCTGGGCTTCCCTGGCTGTGAAGATGAGCTGATGGAACAGCTCAAAGGCTGTCAGAAAGAGTGATTACTCCTCTGCAGAACAGGGTTGCCATGAATTCCACAATGCCCATGACTTCCTTTCAGATCCAGAGGACGAGCCAGGACAGCGACTCTGCCTCCTGGGCCACGCTGTGCAGGATTGTTGGGGCCCTGCCCAGCTCCAGCAGCAGCATCGTCCCCTCCCCTGTGGGGACAGGGCAATCCTGGGGCTCAGCTGGGAACTGACACCCCCCCAGCACCCTCCTGGCTCCTGGGCCCACAGCTGGGGCAGCACCAGCAGCGTGGTCACCATGCCGTGATGGAGAAGGCTGTGCCCGGCCCCAGTTCCAGCTGCTGGCAAGTCCAGGAGAGCATTCCCCCAGTTTTGTTTGTGTTCTAGTGTTGCCAGAGGAGCATTCCACTGCTGCTGTTCTAGGTCACAGCATCTCACAACTGCCTGTTCCACGGGAGAACCTGCCACCCTGGCATATCCAGAGGCACTCAGACCAGGGGACCGTGCTGGGGCACACGGGTGGGGCCGCAAAAAGGACCCCCCAGAGCCACTTCCAGAAGATTCAGTGGAGGAGAAACGTGCAGGAGCTGAGACCAGCCCTGGGGGCGGGACCCAAAGGCTTTAAAAGGCTCTGCTCGGGGTAAAGGCGCTCGCAGCACCAGAGCGCGGCAGCAGCGGGCAGGGCACGGCCCTGGAACCAGGGTGGTGAGAGCCTGGGGCTTTTTTGGTTTGGAGTTTTTGCGGGTTTTCTTTTTTTTTTCCTTGCTTGTTTTGTTGCCTTTTTTTCTTATGTGTATGGGTTTTTTTATGTTTTCTTGCTTTCTTGCTTCTTTTCTGATTTTCTTTCTCTTTTTTCCTTTTTCTCTCTTTTTCCTGTTCTGCTTTTCTTTTTTCCTCCTTTCCTTTTTCCTTCTTTCTTTCTTTTTTTTCTTTCACTATCTTTTTCTGTATTACCTTTTTCTCTTTCTCTCTGTTTTCCTCCTCACCTCTTTTCCTCCCTCACTCCCTCTCTCCCTCCCTCAGCTGAGGGAGGAGGTGACCTCACATCTGCTGGAGGAAGGCACCTGCCTGGGTTTGGTTGCCTCCTTGTCCTGCCCGCTACTGTCCCTCACTTTGTTGTCTCCTCACGACAGCTGTGGCTGTCAGAGCAGGAGGGGGTGCAGCCAATTTCTGGCTGACCACAGCCTCTTCTGGCTGCTGGACTTCATCTGCCACTGCCAGAGGTGTGGGGGAGCAGGGGCTCCCCTGGCTACACTCACCCTGCAGATGTAAATGGGATGGGTTCCATCTTGGAGATCACCCGGGACCTGATGCCTGCCTGTCCCGGGACAAGGTGAGAAGCTGCCCCTCCAGGAGTGTTTCCCTCTACACCCCTACCAAAGTGAGGCCGTGGCCCTGGGGAGCAACTCCCTG